TGTGTGTGTGTGTGTGTGTGTGTAAACTTGAAGAGAATGAACTGCGTACATATCCTCTGAGGTACTGCCTAGAAATGAAAACACTGAAAAGATACTCAACCTGCATGCTAATTGAGATAGCATGACTCAGCACAGGCTTAGAAGCTATTCCTTGCCACTTTCCTTGAGAAGGGGCTATTTTGGCCACAAATCTGTTGCACTCTTCAAATTGTGTAAAACACTGATAAAAAGTGGCAAGTACATATAAGTATGTTCAAAAGAATAATATACTAGGAACATTCTTAGCTTAGGCAAACTATAACCTGTGGAACCCCTGGTTGTTGTTCTCCCCTTCTCCCTTTATAAAATTGAAATCAAGCCCTTTCTTTTTTTTTTTTTTTTTTTTTTTTTGGAACCAGGGATTGAACTCAGACCCTTGCGCTTGCCAGGGAAGATGCTTATTCCACTAAGCCATCTCCCCGACCAAGCCCTTTCATTGTGTTAAGGCATAACTCAATTTATTGGATGAATTCTAATGTGTAATATAAGTTACGCCTCCATTGCCAGAAGCACTGAGAAGTAATTTTTTGGTCTAGCTTTTTTGTTGGATGTTTAAATATTTTTTACAAACCTGTCTACTGAGGATAATAGGTTTTCATTTAGTTCAACGGAATTTCAGTGGCCTTAATTGGCAGCACTAATAATCATTGCCTTTTAGACATTGGAGGTTTCTGCCTGTAAGACAGCAGTATCTGCAAAGCCATGAATGAGTCAAGGACTTCCCTCGATACTGAAGAGTACCCTGACGGCGAGACACAGAAGAGTCATGTCATGACCCTGGAAGAGTGGCAAGACAAGTGGGTGAAGCGCGACATTGGATTTCATCAAGCAGAAGGACATCAGTAAGAGGCGTATGATCTATTGGGGGGAGCTGCTGTATCAGAAACTGACTTTGCTGTGGAAATAATAATGAAAGTATATATTATTTGATTTTTTAAGGTACATGTTCTTTTTTTTAATATGTATTGTAGCACCTCAGAGATCGGAACTCCTCCATGGCTAATCAGTGTTCCATGCACTTTCTTTCCCCACTGTAAAGATAATTATGTGATTTCTGATTTGCAGCCTGTTAGACTTAGGAAATATCTTCTTTTTTTTTTTTTTTTGGCAGAACTGGGGATTGAACTCAGGCCCTTGCACTTGCCAAGGAAGTGCTTATTCTATTGAGCCATCTCCCCAGCCAGGAAATATCTTTAAAAAAATAAATAAATAAAAATCTAAGGGGTTAAGGAGATGGCTCAGTAGAATAAGTGCTTCCCTGACAAGCTCAAGGATCTGAGTTCAACATCCGGTTCTGCAAAACAACAACAACCAAAAAAAAAAAAAAAAAAAAACCATCTAGGGCTAGGGAGATAGCTCAGTAGAATAAATGCCTGCCTGGCAAGTACAAGGTCCTGAGTTCAATCCCCGGTACCACAAAAAAAAAAAAAAAAAAAAAAAATCATGTGTAGCGCCTAGGTATCAGTCTCACGTGTTTGTACTGTACAGACAGCAAATACCAACGTAACTCTTCTCCTTTTTGTTGTCAAAAGTAGTCGAGTTCCAATGTGACAGCATCATGCAGGTGGTATGGGTGAGATGTTGAGAGATGTTAGTTATGTGAACCAAGGTGCTGAGCAGATTTTAGTAGCATTGTTGTCTTTGTGGCAGCCGTGGTGAATCTCGGGGCCATGCTGAGTAATGTGGCCATTATGCAGTTCCTATTCTGAGGAGAGCCCTGCCTTCCCAAATCCTCCTCCTTGTCATCATCACTGCCATTGTACCTTTGCACATTGAAGGAGAGCTGAAAGCACCATTCCCAGAATCACTGCTGTAGATGCCCACCATGGGAAAGGCCTTGGAAGAGCCACATCTCTAGAGAAGAAATCAACCACAAGCGTTGAACTTATTTGGAGCATTTTCCATTAAGTGCATGTTGAAAATGTCATGGATTAGAGACTGCCTTTCCACACCCACATCATGAAAACAAGTATTAATTTGGAGATGACATGTAGAAGTTTCAAAACATATCAGACCATGAAAAAGCAATTTTTAAAGTTTACATTACTTATCAGGGAACCCGGGGCATGAGTCACATTTCTCGCTGACGAGCTGTGTGATGTGACTGAAGAAGTTACTTGCCTGTCCTGTTTCTATGTACAGCAGGCAATGTGATCGCTAGCATTATCTACTAACTAAGGTTGCTGGGAATGGTGAGATAATGCGTGATTCGTGTAGTGTGGGTGAGCTGTACTCTCGTGCAGTGGGTACAAACAACTTTCCTTTTTCTCTGCAGGCTATTAAAGAAGCATTTGAACACATTCCTTCAAGGCAAGAGAGGACTGAGAGTGTTTTTTCCTCTTTGTGGGAAAGCAGTGGAGATGAAGTGGTAGGAACAAATGAGCAGTGACATGCTTGTCTTTGGTGATGAGTCCACGGGGGGAATATTTCATAGAATGGGGGTTATGACTTCCACTGTCAAGAAATGCACAGGGATTCCTTAAGTAGTCCCTTAGGGATAGTTGAGATAATAATAAGTGATCATTAGAGAAAGCATTTCCAAACAGGCCAGGTACAAGCATGACTTGGTTCTTCTTTGTTGTGTTTATACATAGAAGAACTGTACATAGAAGAACTAGTCTGGAATCAAATGGACAAGGAAGGCCAGCCGCCCTTCTTCCATCTCCTGGAACTTCGTGCCTGGTTTAATTATTGTAGATGGTTTAAGAATTTAGCAAGATCTTTGAAATGGAGATAGACTGCATAATTTAAAATACATGACAACTTTTTAGCAGGACAGTGTTTATTATAATTTTCTCTTCACTCATCTCTTCCTTCCATGTGAAAGTAGACATTTTTGTTATTGTGAATCAGTATTATAAATCAGTATTATAAAACCAATGGTGACGAAAGTATCCCTCATAAGTCATTCTCTATAGAGAGAATTTATGTTGATTAATGAGCTGCTGTTATTGTGCATACCAGATATCACTGCCTGTACAGAGCTCTGTTATAATGATAAGATACAGACACAAGCACACCTGCCAAGCAGTGCATTCATGTATTAAACCCACATGCTGGGAACTTTGATCAGTAATCAGGAAAGAAAAAGGATGCATGAAAAATGTTAGTAAATGCAAAATATAATACAGTAACTTAAATTGCTCTGTCCCTGAATAAATATTAACTGACCTTCCACAGAGCATACATACATACATGCATACATACATTTGGAGTTGATTTTCCAGTAGAGATGGTGAAATTATTAGATCAACTTGTAGCTATATGTTAAACGGCGGCTATGGCTGATTCAATTGTAGCTATTACATTGAGAACACCTCAACTGAAGACCTTTTTTTTTTTTTTTTTGCGGAAGCGGGGATTGAACTCAGGCCCCTGCGCTTGCCAGGGGAGTGCTTATTCCACTGGGCCATCTCCCCGGCCCCTGAAGACCTATGTTTTAACCAAATTTCTGAACCAGAAATGAGTTAACCTTAGCAACTGCCCACCAGGGCCAGCAAGATAACTTGGGACTACGTGCGTGCTTGGCAAGCTCAGGGACTGGGGTTCAATCCTTGGCACCCCATGCTGTGCCAGCCCTGCCCCCAGGGAGCTGGCCACACATGTAGTGGCATACACCTGTAATCTCAGCACCGGGAAGGCTGCAAACAGGATGATCACCTGTGAGTCCAAGGTGTGCAGTGAGACCCTGTACCAAATACATAAAAAAATGTTTTAAAAAAAGAAAGATAGAAAGAAGCTGCCTACAAGAAAAAATATTGATTCCACAAACAGATTGTCATACTGGCCTTTTCCTAAGTGGTAACAGTGTAGCTCTAGGATTCAGGCACTAGTAAGAAAAGATTATGAGGAAATAACCAGTGAAATGTGAGTGTTCAGTTTTTTGCTTTTTTTTTTTCTAAAGTGGTTAAAGTATCAAAACAGAGCTACTAAAACTGCAGGTAAGTTAGAGACTGTCATTTAAGTAATCTGTGTATGAGCTCTATGCAGATATCACATGGGAATAGTTAACCGATCGTGGGCTAAGGGCAAAAAGTGTGGGCTTTGGTTTGCTGCTTTGTTTGTATGCTGGGCTATGATTAGGCTATGCTTCATTTTTCTATATGTTGAATGGGAAATAAAAACTAATGTAGCCAGGGCTGGAGAGATAGCTCAGCGATGTAAGTGCCTGCCTGGAAAGTGGAAGGACCCGAGTTCAGTATCCTGTACTGCCTTCTGTGCCGACCCCAGAGCCCTGGGTGTGGTGGTGCACACCTACAATCCCAGCTCTGGGGAGGCTGAGACTGGAGGATCGATACATACAAGTCTGAATTTAG